AGGTGTATTTTCTTTGTTTCGAAATTTTTATGGTCTTCAAAACCCATCCTCTCCAAGACATAGCGTCTTGCATGACATGGGATAAGCTAGTCGAATTGTAAAATATGAAAATTAGACGTTGAAATAGTTGAAGTCATGCTTAATTACGAAAAAAAACACTTGTCGTTGTTGCGTACCGTTTCACAATCGAAGGTCTCCTCGAGCTTAATGCTGAAGCACCGATCTTCGTCCAGCCGAACGAACCTGTCGCACATACCTCGATCGTCGTGGCACCAGCTACACTCCCCCGGGAGACCGTCGTCGTCTGAGTACGACATTTCCTACAATCATAATTCAAAGATTAAACTTGTACATATTCTAGCACAAGTCATGCCAGAATTCACGACAAAATCCGGCATGACCTTTGCTAAAAAAGGACATATCGAGCGCTTGAAATTTGCCGGAACGGAAATTAATCAACACTCCGGCGAAACATAGGCCACTCGGAGATGTAAACTGAACATGAACGGCCACTTGGGCAACCACATATCCTATTTGAGCAACAACACAAGATATACAAGGATATTTGGCTGGTCTCACCTCCATGTCGGAGGGGGTCGGTGACTGGGACGACGGCGGGGATGTCGGAGGGGGTCGGTGACAGGGACGACGGTGGTCACCTGAAACCATATAAGTTATCACTAATACATCCCGAATAATTGCTTAAACTAAAAAATAACAACAAATATGACATGTTCAACTAGTTTTATTTATTCAACTAGTTCTTACTAAATATAAACTTACTATAAATAGAAAAAAAACTAGTTCTTTCTAAAAATAAAGTAGTTCAACTAGTTATATTAATTATCTTACTAAAAATACATTATTTCTATTAATTCAACTAGTTCAACTAGTTTATTAATTTACTTACTAAACTAGTTCAACTACAACTAAAGTAGTTCAACTACCACTACTACTACTAAAAATCTAGTACTAACTAAGCAACATCTAGTACTAGCTATGAACCCTAAATTAACATCTACTACTACTAAATCTAGTACTAACTAGTGGCAGGGGGTGGGGGCGACGGATAGGTAGCTAGGGGCGGCGAGGTCGAGGGCGGTGGGAGGAGGGCTGCCGACGGAGGAGGGAGGAGGGGCGGCCGCAGGCGGAGGGAGGAGGGCGGCGGCGGAGGAGGGAGGGGCGGCCGCAGGCGGAGAGAGGATGTGCGAGGAGGAGGGAGGAGGGACGGAAGGAGGGGAGTACCTCGGCGGCGGACGGACGAAGGCGGCGGTATCGGCGGCGGCGCACGACGACGGTTACGCGGGCGAGAGTGAGAGTGTGAGTGAGAGGGCCGGTCGTGCGCGTGGGGATAAGGTAGGGATAGTTGTAGCGCGTTTGCCAAAACGCGCTATAGCTAATCTGAATAGCAGTAGCGCTGTTTAGTATAGTGCGCTACTGCTATAACTAGCGGGGGGGTGGCGAGGTCATGGCAACTATAGCAGTAGCTCTGTATGCGGTGGATGCGCTACTGCTATTTTCCTGTCAGCAGCGCGTTTTGACGATAGGTGTTGCTGCTAAATAGCAGTAGCGTGGTATTTTGAAGAGCGTGCTGGTAAGATTCTGTGTATAGGATTTTCCCTAGTAGTGACAAGTTGATCTGTTGATCTCTCCCAGCCGTGCGCGGTGCCCCCCTCCACCATATTCCACCTCGGTCATATCGTAGCGGTGCTTAGGCGAAGCCCTGCGTCGGTAGCAACATCATCCCCGTCATCACGCCGTCGTGCTGATCTCCCGTGAAGCTCTGATGGATCGGAGTCCGCGGGACGTCATCGAGCTGAACGTGTGCTGAACTCGGAGGTGCCGTACGTTCGGTACTTGGATCGGTCGGATCGTGAAGACGTACGACTACATGAACCGTGTTGTGCTAACGCTTCCGCTTTCGGTCTACGAGGGTATGTGGATTCACTCTCCCCGCTCGTTGCTATGCATCACCATGATCTTGCGTGTGCGTAATTTTTTTTTTGAAATTACTACGTTCCCCAACAAATATTAGAGCAATTAAAAATCTTCATCAATATCACATATTATGAGAATATCTGCCAAGGCATACCTTGTCGATAATCTACCTCTGGCCTCTCGTTGGGGGGGAAGGGGGGGATGAATTATCACCTGGACAGCAGCATTTGCCATCCGATCGAGAAACTAGAGACTAGAGGGTAGAAAACAATTAGACAACCCATGGGACAAGTATAGAATCAGAGAAGCAAAGCTCGCAGCTTGCTGGGAGGAAGAAAGACGAACACGCAGACGTACATGGCGGCGCTGACGTCCGAGACCTTTTATATGCCGCTTTTTGCGGAACATAGTCGACAATTCGCACATGGGATAGCTGATCTGGGTCGGCCCATTTGCGGTTGCGCGCGATAAAAAATCAGCAAACAAATGCGCCCCAAGTGGGAATCGAACCTAAGAATTGCAGCAGCCAAGCTAAATCAACAAAAAAAAGCGCCCCAAGTGCGACAGGCTTACTTTCGTGCAAGTTTGACACCGCGACGCTTAAAGAAACGAATAGCAGCAGGAAAACCTAAAGAACACCTCGCAAAAAAAGTGCGCATGAGTAGGATCGAACACGTGACCTAACGTGAGTGAACCATGTCCCTACCACTGTAGTACATAAATTTTGAGTTTTAAATTTGGCAGCTCAGTTTATATAAACTATAGGCAGCGAAAGGTTTTTTTTTTGAAAGAATATATTTTTTTTCCTTTTCATAAAGTCAATACTTTTTGAGAACTGAACCAAATTTGTAAAGACTCGAATATTTTTGGGAATCTCAAACTTCAAAAAAAAGAAAAAATTTGAAAACGAGTACATTTTTTGAAACTAAGCACACCTTTTTGGAAATGCAAACATTTTCCAAAAAACATGAACAAAATTGCAAAACACGAACATTTTCTCAAATTACGAACAAGTTTTTCAAAACTCTAACATTTAATGAAATTCCCCCAAAAAGGAAAATTTGTGAACAAATTATGAAAACATGAACATTTTTGAATTTGTGAACAAATTTAGAAAATATGATATTTTATGAAAAATACGAACATTTTCTGAAATTCCCCAAACAATTTTTGAATGCAGGTACAAATTCTGAAATCATGGACATTTTTAAATTTTTAACCAAAATTTTGAAACAGTAAAAAATTTAAAAACTTGCTAACATTTTTTAATTTGCGAACAAAACTTTCTGGAGTTTTTGGAATATTGTTCTTTGAATTTCTGATTTTTTTTTGAAAATAACTGAACAAATTCGGGGATACTAATTTTTTTGAAGTTTCTGAAAGAAATTTGAAAACAGAAACATTTGTTGGGAAACTGAACAATTTCTAAAAATTGCAAACATTTTTTAAATTTCTGAACATTTCTTTGAAAAAAAATAAAGTGAAAATATAAAAATGAGAAATGAAAGAAAACAAAAATAAAGAAAGACGAGAAACCGAAAAAAAAGGAAATGAAAGGGAGATTAAAGAAAGGAAATAAATAGAAAAAAAGAGGATAAACAAGGAAAAAAAGGCTTGGGAACCTCCCAGAGAGTTCCAAAATCAGAAAAGACCAACTAGAAAACACCTAGAAGGATAGCAACTAATTGAGGAGCCCTCCTTCGGGAGCCTCCCAACCATCACTTGGGGTGGGCTGAACTTCCACGTGTCGTGCTCTCAGCAGCTTCCACGTGTCGCGCTCTGGGCATGCTCTTTAAATTTTGTTTTGTTTTTATATTTTTCACATGAGTTTTCAGCTTATTAGATGGTTTTTTTTCGGCTTTTAGGGTTTCCATCGGTCTTTCTTAGTATTTTGACAAAAATAATCGGAATTTTTTTTCGCGAAAGAACTCGTTTTTTTCTCCGTAAGAGGCATGGTTTTGCTTCCGCGATCGGAAAAAAAGACACATTTTTTCTTTTTTTTCGTTTCGTGAGAGGCACGACCTCTCGGAAACGGAAAAAAGACGCGTTTTCTCTTTCTTTTCCTTCCGTGAGAGGCATGGTTTCGCTTCCGTGAGTGGCACGGCCGTGTCTTTCAGAAACGAAAAATAAACGCATTTTTCTTTCATTCCGTAAGAGGCACGGTTTTGCTTGAGCGAGAGGCACTGTGCCTTTCGGAAACGAAAACAAAATGCATTTTTTACCCTTCTGCAAGAGGCAGGGATTTGGTTTTGCGGCCGTGCCTCTCGAAGAAGACTTTCGGAAAGTAAAAAAACATGCTTCTGATTCGGTTTTTTTGTTCTTTTGTTGTCAAAACCTATCAACATGAGTTCTAGTTTTGAAGATCTCGACGCGAGGAATCCAACAGTAAAAACGGTTCGAGATTTGAACACACGGTTTAAAAAATAAAACATTTTTGAATAAACGAATCTACGAAAAAAGAAAAACTTACACGTTGCCACAAATGGCCTTGCGGCAAGTAGGATTTCCCTGCAGTAGAAATCGAACTGAGGATGCGGCATTGCCTGGGAGGGGCCGGGCCGGGCAGTGTGTGAACTCTGCCAAAGTGTGGCGAGAGCCTGACAATCCGTGAAGTCTGAACCTGCCTGCCTGCGAACTTCTCTGAAAGCCCTAAAAAGAAGAGAACATATCTGAATAACAAGAACCAGAGTGACACTCTTAGGAAACATTTCTTGGCATTTCCCAAATATGAGTACCGTTTAATTACACACCTTACATCACACCTCACAAACCGAAACAGAACAAGCGGCACGACATTATGTATGTGCATCACACATTCACTCTAAAAAAAAGCTAGTGGTACAGTTCCCAGCTACTCCCTCCGTCTTAAAATAAGTGTCTCAAATTTTGTACTAACTCTAGTACAAAGTTGTACTAAGCTTAAGACATTTATTTTGGGACGGAGGGAGTATAACACATCAGTGCACGATCCAAGCCAACAAAGCAAGAGCAGGGGAGAGATGACATCTTGTAGCTAAGCTAGTCCACAACTTTCTATCAATATGATTATATTCAGTGGTTGCTCAGCCGAAACAGGTGAGGAATTTCTTCTTGGGCGTGGTCCCTTGTGAGCGGTGCTTGGCCGCCGTCTCCTCGCACTTGATCATCTCCTCCTGCCGTCTGGCCTCCACGGCGGCCCGCTGCTCCTCCGCCTCCTTGTGGATCATCGCGATACGGTTCCGCATCTTCTCAGCGTACTCCGCCTTCTTCTTCTCTAGCTTCTCCTGCATATCCATCCGAGAAAGATATTAGCTAATAGTCTAACGCATTACAAAACAAAAACTGAACTGAATTTGGCGACTAAAGGGGCAGGAAGTAAAGCGGCGTTCAGAGTTTTCAGATTTGACATACCTCCCGTGTTCGGAGCTTGGCTTGGACCGCCGCCTTGTTGGTGTTCTCCCATGATAGGATGGACGACATCTTGTGCTCAGCCCTGCACCACTTAAGGTAGTAGGTACCAAAGATTGATGCAGAGAATTCCCTTGTGTTATAAAGTTCAGTTCAGTTAAGCTTGAGATGAGACGCGAACCTGTTGTCGGCCTTGCTCTTCTGGTTCTCTTCCCACGCCTTCACCATCGACAGCTTCCGCTCCATCTCCACCTTGGCCAGCACCGCGTCTGCCAGATTCATTCATTTTGCTCAAACTCATACCAGAGAAGACGCCAAAACTGCATCCAAATTTGCTGAATCTTGAAGCAAAGGATGGACGATATGAACGCACCTCTGTCAGTTGCTGAACCTGCAGCCGCTGGTCCTTGCTGCGCTGTTGCTGGCGCCGGAGGTCCATCTGCAGCAGCAAGACCGATCGATCAGAGCCAGCATCGTATCAAACTGATGCAACAGTGATCCACCTCTGAACGTTCGTAAACACTATCACTACAGTAACACGGTTGGGTACTTGAATATTGCACACGGGCTTCCAATTCATCTTGTGTCAGTCAGACCACCAGAGATCTAATCATACACAAGAGAGCAGAGCATCGGTGAGTAGGTGAAAGAAACAGCAGATCTTACTGTCAAGAACTCTGCCTCCGACGGCCGGTTCGCCGGCAACCCCCGGCGGCGCCACCACCGCACCGGCTTTGGTCGGCTCCTGCTGGGTCTCCATGGACACGACACGATGCTCTGCTCCTAGCACAAGCTCGGCACCGCTAGACTAGAGACTACTAGTAGTAGCAAAGCAAAGATCGTGCGTTGATTTCCCTGTCAGATCCGACCTGAATCGTAATTCGCAATTAACTAATCCAAAAGCGGCTTCTAAATCTTTTGGTGGTGCCGGCCGGTACGGCGCGCGCAAATGAGCTGCGGAACGCGATCATCTTCGGGAAGAGTCCAAAGCGACACGTACGCTTTCCAGGCGTGCGCACGTGTGCTTTGCGTCGACGAGAGGCGCCACGTGGTCGGGAAGCTCTTGCACGAGGCGGGATTGCAGCCACCTCACCTCACCATGTGACTGCATGGATACAGCCGCGCACTGCTACGCACCGGCTATGACACGCTGCTAGGCACCGGCTATGACACGCAACAAGGACGTGGTGTACCTGTGGCTGGGGGGCCCGGACGTGGAGGCCGAGCGGCAGCGCCGCCACTGTTAGGAATTAATTAATTAGATTAATTAATTGTAAATCCATGCTATGTCGGTGGCCATGTTTTTGGCAACCGCCTCCTTTGCAACTGCCTTGTAATGAGGGTATAAATACCCCAATCTTTAATCAATGAAAGAACTGTTCAATCCATTCGTTCCTCCCTCTTTTTCCTCTTTACACGTTATCAGCCCTTTGCCCTAACCTAGAGCGAGCTATTAGGCCACTAGACAGCGCCGGCGGCACCGTCTTGCGTCATCGCGGTACGGTGGCGTCCTCGAGGAATGGCAGAGGCCTCTGCGCAAAGATGCATAACTACTCCATCTTGGCCTCTGTAGCAAACGAAGTGATTTGTGATCCATCGATGATGAGTGGATAACGACAGGACCCTTATCCATTCGGTTATTTGAGACTAAGGCCTTCTAGTTTCTAGTATTGACAAATAAGTTCTGTAACTTGCATATAGGCCCACAGGCTCACTCTAATATGCAGTTTAGCAGTACTACTTTCTTTTATTGCCAAATAAGGCCATCAGCCTTAGTAACTATGCGACTTACACTCTTTGGTATTGTCATATTGTGCATATATCGGAAAACATGAATTCTACATGTATTATGAGCATATTACTACTATTCAAGTGTCCATACATTGCAATTTCATCAAATTGCAATAACATTGTATATTAGAAACGACGGTGCCATATTATACATGTTTGCCTCAGCATTCATTGTAATATCAGTTTTAGAACAACATGTTTCTTTCTTTTGCAATTGGAGTTAATTTTTCTTGCAAATCTTGATGAAATCCAAAACAAGGATTGTGAAGTTTCATACTTAATATGACTACATCATATTTTATTTGCAAATCACAAGGTATTGATGGCATCTACTGCGTAATTTGTAGATTATCCATCACTACTGTGAGGTCTACGTCTTGTCATTTTGATAAGATGACTACCTTCAAGTGCTCTTCCAAATATTAATGTGACTATTTTAATATTTTTTTGGTGAATCACAAGGTATTGGTGGTATCTACTGCACCATTTGCAGATTATCCATCACTACTGTGAGGTCTACATCTTGCCATTTTAACAAGATGACTACCTTCGAAGTGCTTTTCCAAATATTAATATTTGATGTGACTACCTCAAGACATCATAAGGTAATATTGGCATCTACTGCAAAATTTTGCCGACTATCCACTATTACTGCAAGGTCTATATCATGTCACTTTGACTGATGATTACCTTCAAAGTGATTTCATAAATTTAGCATAACATAAGGTAATAGAATTATGAACATCTACTGACAAAAGTCAGATTATGTTTTCTATCACTACGAGATCTACACCATTGGTGATTATCTTCAAAGTGTTATCCTATATAAATTGAGGTCTACACATATGAGAGTATAGCATCAGCTATCTTAAAATTTGCTCCTCTGAAGCAATTGTTGTTGTTCACTAAAATAGGTTACTCTCATAGTAATAAATATTAATGCATGGTCATTACATGTTGATTTTTTTTCTACTACTATCATTATTTATGCCTCATTTTGATAGAATAAGTGGTAGAAAATTATGCAGATATATGCATACCACGGTAATTACCTTCTATTATATTGGTTAAATACATGGCAGTTGAGCCTATGTCACTATTTCTAATTATATCTAATTATAGTGCCGTACATTCATCAAAATGTATACAATAATTCATTGCAACGATCGAGTGTCTCAAACACGGTTGCAAGATCCACATCACATTGTGGTTATTATTTACATGGTACCTAACCAATGTTAAAAAATACAAAGTCCATGTTTTGGTCGTGACTCTAAAGTCACATCTTTTCCCTCAAGAAAGAAGCCCAAAAGAGTAGCAACGATTTCGTCGCATGCACTTGAAGGTGTACACCCCATGTTCACCAAGCATCACCTTGGTGGATTGTGCTCAACATGATCATTTCATCCATATATATCTTTTACTCCAAGAAGTAAATTAAATAATGCATGATCATTTCATGTAACACATGGCTATTCTATCGATAGCTAAATATGCACATATGGAATTTATATGTCACCAACTTCACTTAGTTCTCAAACTAAGTACATAATGGATGAATATTTATTCATCTCGAATATTTTACTTAAGAGAAACATGCTACCATGAGCACATCACGAATGATCACCCATTCATGTTTCAAGACCTCAAGTCTATCGCAGATCACAATTCTGTCATTTAATCAATTTGAAGTTGAGATCCATGATCAAATATTTTCATATGTAAATTCTGTTGAAAAAGCCCTTAATACCCTTTACATGCTCATACGATGGTATTACCATTTTCCATGATGAAGAAACATGGAATTTCTTTAAATCATCAGATTCACCCAACGGGTTCTATTCCATTATTTGAAATTATTGCTAGTACTTAGTATTTTGTGCAACTTCATAGTCACAAAATAGAACCATGTGGAATTCAAAAGTAAAGTGGAGGCTAAAAGACAACCGAAGACAGAGTTACCTCTTAATAGGGCATAAATCATTTTCAAATGATCACAAAGACAAATATCTAGTTTGTCAAATGTGTGGTTATACAAACATCGTACCTATGATTACCAAACCCTCAAACATATGGTCAAACCACACCACAAATTTATTAAAAGGCCAATAAGTTCAATGGGATAAATTTGCAAATTTGCAAATAACAACCAAATTCTGGTAAAGGATTGTTCTCAGAATCTTCATCAGAAGGAGGACCAAGATCTAGTGCAGAAAATGGAGGATGAAAACATTTGCACTCAAAAATATCGAAGACCTCAGGTAATCTCCTAATTATCCCAATATATTATTAGCTCATACTTGTACTAATACATGTAGTAAAATGTCCAATATCATATCCATTGGATACAATATTCGATAAATTTCATTGTATGTTTCGATTCATACTCAATATTGTTGCGTACACAATGGTTTTCTAAGTATTAATAAATTAAATATTAGGCTTGATAGCCTTAGCCATCCTGGTTTGGGGATGATTAGAAAATTGTTGACAATTCGGTTGGTCACTTAACAAGTTGCAAAATATTCCCCAGATCATCAGATTATATGTGCACCACATGTGTCATAGGGGAAATCTGTTTTAAGGGACTCTCGCCTTCAAATTCTAAATGATCCACTTATTCTTTCTTGAACACATTCAAAAGATATATGTGGAATGTTGAACCATTATCTAGGGAGCAAATTCTCCTGAACAAAGGATAAACCCATTCGAATGGACAATGTCATTGAACTTATTTCACGAGAATTTTCTGATTACATTCAGTACCCTATGTACATACCTAGATTGGTTTAACTAAACTTCTTATCAAAGATAGTCAAATGAACTACATGACCACTTTTAAAGAATTGTAAATTTACCAGCCTCTTGCTGGACACATACGGCCTTACACACTGTAAGTATGATCTAAATCATACCAACTGCATATCATACTACTTAACCCCCTTGTAGTAACTACGTGGAAATAAACAAAGTATTTCCTATCTGCAATAATTCGGTTACATATTGATATCACCACTCTAGCATACATCAATGGGCACTCACAGAAAATTAGGGATCTATTTGAGGAATAACAATTTATCCGTCAATCAAAATTATTCATAGCCCGTATGCTAATTGCATCAGCAATAAGGATATTTTCCGGCATTAGGGGGAGATAAGTACCACAAAGAATGTCGAGAAATAAATTATAAATGCTATTGACATTCAATCCTTATATCCACGTACTCAAAGAATCTGAACTATAAGTTTAGAGAATCATGTATTTGCAACACATTGCAAATTTGCCACATACATTTACTGATGAAAGGTGTCACTAAATTCTATATTCCTGCAGTAAAGTGTCAGAAAGAGTGGAGGTACCTGATAAACCACTCTTCTCCCCAAATGAGAGCAAGAGGGGGAGAAAGTCTGACAACACGAGATATAACTTCTCATATGCTTCCGCGGAAACAGAGGAAATCAATTCCTCAACCAGTAAATGTAATTCAACATCAAGTTGAAAGACACCTCACTGGATGCTCATCATCCAAAGCCCGGCATAAATGTGCACAAATATTTTGGTGCCGGGACATCAAAACACCTTGCCTCCATTTGTTGTAGGAAATCACAAGGAGTTAAAAAGGAATAAATATATTATCCACAAACTTCAATGATTCCATCAGAATCATATAAACTAAAGACTACATTTGTCGACATATATTTCTTCTCAAATTGCTAAACCTTTTGGGCCCGAACCAAAATCCATGGTAGAGTGCCTCTTGCACTCATATTGGTTCACATAAAAGGAAGTAAGTAATGAAGAATAGCACTCGCTCTATAAATGAGTAGTATTTACCGTAGTAATACCTACTCCTCATAAGTATCTTCCATATGGAATACTAAAAACTTCTCATTCATAGACAAAGTCAATGAGGTGGTGAGAGAGCGAGGCTTGTAGCAAAAGGATTCACGCAGAGACTGTTGGAAATA